CCTCTCCCAGTGGGCGGGGGGGGCGTCGTGGAAGCATCGGAAAAACACAGGTCGAACCCGTTCCTCCTCCTCCTCCTCCTCCTCCTCCTCCACCTCCTCCTCCCCCGCCAGCCCGAAATGAGGGGGTCTTCGGACTAGGTTGGGGTGGCCTGGTAGGTAGTCAGTGTCCCCCCCCCGCCCCCCCCCGCCCGCGCTGGCTCCCCCCCTGTGGCGGCGCCCCTCCCCAGGCCGGGGCCGCCGGCGCCGCCGCGCGCGCGGAGCAGCGGCCCGCGGCGGGCGCGGCCCGCGGCGGCGGGCGGCCCAAGACGGCGCTTCGCTTCGGGCGCGCGCGGCGGGCGGCGCGTCGCCGGAGTGGCCTCCCGGTAGGAGGTTGAAGAGGTGCTCATACAGTTACCCTTCGCCCGGTTGCCCCTGTTTCGCCCTCCTGGGGCGGCCCTCGTCGCCACCGCTGGATGCGCTTCGAAGTCCAGGCCAGGACGCACTCCGGGAGAGGCCTGGGGCGTAGCGGTATCGGTGCCTTTCGGTTTCCCCATGTGGTGCGGGCCCAGAGCGCTCCGAGCGCGCTCCACTACAGTCGGACCGAGGCATAAGATCGAGGTCGGCTCGGGGAGGGTGCCCTAGCAGGCATTCTTCGCGCTCGTTGCGCGTCCTTCTGCCTCCTGGGGGAGGGTGGTCTCGAAGATTCTTCAGTTTGGCCGGCGGAGGGTCTCCTGTTCTGGAAGGATGTTTTTCTGTCCCAGGCCCGACCGTACTCGCAAGGTGTTTCTTTCCTTTTTTTGCCAAATAGAAGCGCTCCTCGCGGCCATACTTGGTTCGTAAGTCTTCTGGTGTGTTGTGTGAGACGCAGGAGACTTCTCAGAAGGCGCGAGGGTTTCTGCGAGGTCCCGCCGCCGCGGCGGGCCCAGGCCGTTTGCGAGCAGCTGCTTCTTGCGAGCAGTGGGGCGCGCTTGTCCGCAGGTGGCTCCCCCCCGGCACTGGCCTGCACGCTCGGATCTGGCCCCATGCCAGGACCTGCAGCTTGGCGCCCTCCCTTCCGCCGAGAACCCGCCCGCCCGGGTACCCGCAGTCAGTGTCTTCTCCGCGGCGCTGTCTTCTGCTCCGCGGCCCCGGCGCGGAGTTCCACCTGCAGAAGCGAACGTGCTGGCGGGGCAGAGCATGCTGTGCGTGTCACTCGGCAGCCTGAGCATGGGCGCTCTGCACCCAAACAACGTCGCGCACCAGAGTGTACGTAGTCGGGCATGTCCCTCTACAGGAGGAATATTCAAAAAAAGTAGCGGACAGAAAAGGCTGGGGACGATGTTTCGATTATTCTTTCTGGTTATTCTTGAACATTTAGAATTTGTCGCCAAAAATCAGACTGGAGGAGGACATGCCCGACCTAACACCAGACCCTCGGTGTCCTCGGTCGTCGTCCCCCCCAGGGGGGGGTATCTGCCCTGGCCCTTCGCAAAGTGCCCACTCGTAAACGTCCGAAAAACATTGGCTTGCCTCGATGTAGTACAGTATATCGTAAACCACCCGCGGCGGATCCAGGCCATTTGCGACTGGTCACTTTGCGAGTAGTGGAACGCGCTTCTCCAGTGCCGCCCAGCAGCCCGAGCATGGGCGCTCTGCACCCGCAGCATGCCGCGCGCCAGAGCCTCGGTGCCCTCGGTCGTCGCCCCGCCCCTCCCCCCGGGGGGGGTCTGCCCCGGCCCCTCGCGCCGCTCGCTCCTCGGGCCCCTCCGTTCGGTCTCCGCGCTCGCGCCGCGCTGTGCGCCTGCAGCTCACGGGAGCCGGAGCCCGTCGCCAGCCCACGGCCAGCTTCTGTGCAGTCCAGAGTCAGTACCGTTTGAGCGACCCCCATCCCCATCCTCATCCCCGTCGAGACCCCCACCAAACTACCATCCCGGTTGGGGATACACCCCTCGAAACCCGAAGGGAACGGCCTATATCCCCATCTACGGGGGTGAATCGGCCAGTGGGGCCCAGGCCACGCCGTTAGGGATGGGGGTCGGATAAGCGATGCTCACAAAACCCGGATAGCGACGCAGTCCAAAGCGCTTAACACGCCCGGGGGAGACGCTTGCAGGGACGCTCGAAAGCATGCTCGGGGAGCCTGCAAACATCAGACAATACCTGTGGGAGACGGTTGCCAGGACTCTGGAAGAAGCACGCCATGGAGAGCTTGCAGGTTTCGGAAAGCAAGCTTCGAAGGAGCGTCGAGGGAGCTGCAAAGGATCTGCGGAAAGGCTGAAGGAACGCGTATTGGGACTGAGGAGGAAAACGCTTCTCGGGACACACTGCCGGTCCAAGCAGGTTGCTGCGAGGATGCCTGCCCGGGAGCTTTGGAGAGGGGCTGGCGCAGCTCTGCCTGCCGGCTTCGTATCTGAAACCCTCTCAGCTCTCCAGAGCTATCCGGGAACAAAAGCCGCAGCCCAGAGTTCACTTTTTTCGACAGTGAGCCCAGTGGGCGGGGGGGAGTGAGAAGGAAAAGGCCTGAGAAGGCGGCGGGGCTTCTCGGAAGCCCCTCGCGCCTTCTGGGAGGTTTCCTATGTCCTCGGGGAAGGTTCAGGAAGATCAGAAGGCCGGGGGACCTCCGAGCCTTCTGAGAAGACGCCCCCCTCTGGCTTCCCCCCCGGGCGCGCCGCCGAAGAATAAAAGCCGCGCATTAGAGGTCATCCTTTTCCGGGCGGACCAGGGCGAGGATCAGTACATCTGGAGCGTTCCAGAACGCTCTCAGAGCGCTCCGCAACGCTGTGAGCAGGCCGCGGCGCCCGAGACATCCTCCAGAGCCGCCAGATCTCAGAGATTCTCGATTTACCCTCGTCCGATATTATCCTCGCCCTGGCGTCGTCTCGATGAACAGAAATTTCCGGAGGTCCGCGTGGACCGTCGACAGGTTATGTTCATGCGGTTGTGTGTTCAGAGTGAGGTGGGTGCGCGCCGCGTGGGCGCGGGTGCGACCCCAGCGCGGGCGTTCAAGATGGAAGGCCGACGGTGGCCCTGGAACCTGCCGATGCCGATCGAGTAGCGACATCGGAGAGCCGCGCCTCGAGATTCTCGATTTATCCTCGCCCGATGTTATCCTCGCCCTGGCTCTCAGAGATCATCGATTTTTCAGGATGGAAATAATGGCACAGAGACACACACAAACAATCGCCGACTCGTATTGACATGTGGGTAAGTCTCGGAAGTGTGGAGGGGGGGGGGAGACGAAAACCCAGAACATGTATAAACCAAAGGGGGAGGGGGAGTCCTGGGACTGTTGTGTGTGTGTGTGTGTGTCTGTGTATGTGTCTGTGTCTGTGTCTGTGTCTGTGTCTGTGTGTGTGTGTGTCTGGGTCTTGGTGTGTCCCTGGACCCCTCCTGGTGTGTCCTCGCCCGATGTTATCCTCGCCCTGGCTACGCCGTGACAAACGGAAATTGTCGTCGGCAAGGGCCGTGCCCATCTCGTCAGCCTCGGGTCGTGTGCGTTCTTGCCCTGCGAAGACTGACGGCGCGCTGATGGTTTCGTGCGCCCGGCGCCCCAAAGAGGGGAGCGGCCCTGGGCAGCAAGTGAAGCCGAAGCCTTCGCCTTCGCTCTTGCCCGGTGCCGTGGCCAGGGCGGCCTGCGCCCGGCCTGGCGGCGCCCGCCCCTCGGCAGACGCACGATGCGGCGGCGTGGCCGGCATCGGCCCTGGCGTCGGCGGCGGGCGGGCGCGGACGCAGCCTCGAGCCGCGACCCGGCGACCTCGAGCCTCGACCGATCGACGACGACCGACGAGGCGACGAGGCGACGAGGCGGAGGCGGAGGAGGAGGAGGAGGAAAAAAAGGAGGAGGCGGAGGAGGAAGAGGAGGAACAGGCACAGGAACAGGGACAGGAACAGGAACAGGGACAGGAACGGGAACGGGAACGGGAGCAGGAACAGGAACGGGAGCAGGAACAGGAACGGGAGCAGGAACGGGAGCAGGAACAGGAACAGGAACAAGAACAGGAACAGGAACAGGAACAGGAACAGGAACAGGAACAGGAACAGGAACAGGAACAGGAACAGGAACAGGAACAGGAACAGGAACAGGAACAGGAGGAGGAGGAGGAGGAGGAGGAGGAGGAGAGGAGGAGGAGAGAGGAGAGGAGGAGGGGGAGGGGGAGGAGCCTCGAGGCCGCTCCCCGCGCGCGGCCGAGCCAGGGCGCCGCGCCGCGGGAGCGGCGGCCCGCCGCAGCGCGGCCGCCCGCCGCCGCCCGGGGCTGGCCCGGGGACGTGCGCTGGCCGCTGGGCCCCGCGGGCTCGCTGGGGGTGCTCCGCCACGCGCAGGAGGGGGGGGGCACGCGCCGGTCGCTGGAAGCATAGGTCTCTTTTTGCGGAGGGTGAGCGACCTCTGGCCCTGGCACGTCGATTCGCGAATTTTCCGTTTTCGGTTCGCGGGCTTTTTTGCGGGTCCAGGTCCGTCGGTTTCGGTCCAAGGCTGTTTTCACTCAAGGGTGGTTTACTAAAGGGGGGGTTATCCACCGCCGATTTGTGGATTCCCAGATCCCAATCTACTGTTGGCGCCTGCCTTCTGCAGGGGTCCACTGGTCTTCCCTATACTCTTCAGGGGGCGGGCGGAAACCCAATCTGCTTCCAACGCCTTCCTACTTCTACCTGCTTCTTCCGACCAGCGTGTATGGGGGAGGGGGGAAGGCTTCTTTCGAAAAAGGTAACGGCACAAACATAACTTGTTGGCGCTCCGCGCGGATTTCTTGGGTCCGCGCAGGGCCCCCCGGCGGCGTCTCCGGCGCCGCCCCTGGCGCACTCCGCGGCAGAAAGATGGGGTCCGTGGCAGAAAGATGAGGCGGAAAGATGGGGTCTGGGGCTCCAGTCGTGATTTCTTGCGGCGTTGCAATGTTTGGGCAACGTCGGATCTCAGGGAAGCACCCTGCTCCTCAGAAGGTGGGGGCCTTGTCTGTAGATGTCAGGCTGGCGCCTTCTTCTGGGCAGCAGCCTCCTTCTATAAGAAGCTTGCCCCCCTCCCCCTACCCCCTTGTGCGCGCCGCCAAGGTGCTGGCGATGCTCGGGGTCGTGCTCGCGGGGCGGGTGAGCTCGGCAGTGGGGGAAGCGATAGCCGCCGTGGGGGGGGGGAAGGGGTCCGGATGTTCCTCGCCGTTTCTGATTTGCTGGGGCCCTCCACCATGAACATCGATCTGGCTCTATAGCGCCCAGCCTTAATTAAGGCCTCAAGCTCTAAATTTAGCGCCGTCGCCTTACACTTAGCGACGACGTCGCTAGATGATTCAGCGACGAACTTGAAGACGACGACGATGCGTTGTTGTTCGCTGAGGAGGCTCGCTCCTCTTGCAATGGGATCAGTCAGAAAACGGCTCGGGATGAAGATGTCGTCCTGGGGGAAGGCCGCAGGGTCCAGGACCCGTTTCCATCAGGACCCGCTTCCCCCCATGCTAAGAGGGGTGGGGATAGGCATGTAGGTCGGAGGGGGAGACGATGCCGATACCGCTATTCCTCCCTCGCTTTCCCTTCTGGTGGGCCCAGAGGCCCTCGTCGCCACCGCTGGATTCGCTTCGAAATTCTGGTCAGAGCGCACCCCAGAAGAGGGCTGGGGGAGTAGCGGTATTGGTACCTCCTTGGTTTCCCCAATGGGAGGGGGGATGCATCGACTCCCCCTCGCGCCCATTGATCGCCGACAGGGGCCCGATAGCCCCAAGCCGCCTAGGAAGGTTCGGTTTCGCTATCGGGGGCCTATCGACTATGTATCGCCGACTCCAGGTCGATGCATGCCCCCCGTAATGCCAGTCCCCCCCCTTATCGTTGCCCCTCAGTTGGAAAGTCATGGGCGCCTTGTGTGTGCCCTCGCGGTTCCGTCTCCCTTTCTAGAGCGCAGCAGTAGCGTGAGTAGCGTTTGGTAATCGATGAGGTAGCGTGGATTTAGCGTCGATTCAACATCGATTCAGCGTCGATTGTGTCGGTTCGCAAGAGCCGACTAAATGGTATGGGAGCCTCGTGTGAGAGCGTTTTGTAATCCCCAGGCGATCACAGGCGCTACCCGGGGGGGGGGCGCAGGGCAGGAAACGTCACGTTTCGCGCTGGCGCGGTTTGGGAATTATTTTAGGAATAACAGAAGACAGCTCGGACCGTCAGCACGAATCGGTACGTTAAATTACCTGGGGGAGGGGGGAGGCGGCTGGAGCCGGTCGGCCGTCATCGCGAACAAAGACTCTCTCTATGCCCTCGTGATTCCGTTCCTTCTTTCAGGGCGCAGTAGCGTCGAACAGCGTCTGGTAATGGCGGTGAGAGCGCCGAAGAACCGTCGCTCAGCGTCGATTTGGCGTCGATTTGGCGTCGCCCAGCGTCGGTTCGCAAGAGCCAGCAAGATTCAGGCGATCGCAAACATAGATCCATGGGGCATGGATGAGCGACCGGTCCCGTTTCCCTCGGAAATCGTGGATTCCCGCCGCCGAGCGGGGCGGCATTGGCCGCACTTTAGGGCAGGGCGCCTCCCCCGATGCGTGGATTTGGCGACCACGCGCCAAATCCATGGATCGCCAATCCATGTTTGCGCGCCCCCGAAAGATGATGATGAGCAGGAGGAGGAGGAGGAGGAGGAGGAGGAGGAGGAGGAGGAGGAGGAGGAGGAGGAGGAGGAGGGAAGAGGAGGAGGAGGAGGAGGAGGGAGGAGGAAGGAGCGAGGAGGAGGAGGAGAGGAGGAGGAGGAGGAGGAGGAGGAGGAGGAGGAGGAGGAGAGGAGGAGGAGGAGGAGGAGGAGGGGAGGAGGATGAGGAGGAGGAGGAGGAGGAGGAGGAGGAGGAGGAGGAGGAGGAGAGGAGGAGGAGGCGGAGGAGGAGAGGAGGAGGAGTAGGAGGAGGGGAGGAGGAGGAGGAGGAGGAGGAGGAGGAGGGAGGCTCCGCGTGCTGCCTCCGGAGGTGAGCCTGGGGAGCCGCTGGGCCGCGTCGCCCCCCGCTCCGTCGGCGGCCCCGCGCGGGCGCTTCCTCCGGGGAAGCGAAGAGGTACCGGCACCCTCCAGTGAGGGGACAACGCGAAGGCGGAACCCCTTTGTCTTCGACCCCGCGTTCGCCCCCCCCCCCCCCCCCCTCTCCCCCCCTCCCCCCAATTTCAAAGTCGGCGTTGGCCGCTATGCTGCACAGCGGCCGAGACTCTTCGTCGTCGACCCCAGGGGTCCAACGCACTGAACAAAAACAGGACGGAGGTTTATCGCAATGTTTTGTTGGCGGTCCCGGGGCCGTCAAGAAACAATTCAGGATGAATTATCCCGGCAAAGCAACCTAAGATTCAGATGAGAATCCAGTTGTAGAATTCTGCTGTTCTCGCAGTCGTAGTCGCATTCGCGATGACAGTCGCAGTGGCAACGGCAGTCGCAGTCACAGCCTCAGCCTCAGCCTCAGCCTGCCTCAGCCTCAGCCTGCATCAGCCTCAGCCTCAGCCTCAGCCTGCCTCAGCATCAGCCCGCCTCAGCCTCAGCCTCAGCCTGCCTCAGCCTCAGCCTCAGCCTGCTTCAGCCTCAGCCTCAGTCTGCCTTCAGCCTCGGCATCAGCCTCAGCCTGCCTCAGCCTCAGCCTGCATCAGCCTCAGCCTCAGCCTCAGCCTGCCTCAGCATCAGCCTGCCTCAGCCTCAGCCTCAGCCTCAGCCTGCCTCAGCCTCAGCCTCAGCCTGCCTCAGCCTCAGCCTCAGCCTCAGCCTCAGCCTGCTTCAGCCTCAGCCTCAGTCTGCCTTCAGCCTCGGCCTTAGCCTCAGCCTGCCTCAGCATCAGCCTGCCTCAGCCTCAGCCTCAGCCTCAGCCTGCCTCAGCCTCAGCCTGCTCAGCCTCAGCCTCAGCCTCAGTCTGCCCTGCATCCTCGGCATCAGCCTCAGCATCAGCATCAGCCTCAGCCTGAGCCTGCCCAGCCTCAGCCTCAGCCTCAGCCTGCCTCAGCCTCAGCCTGCCTCAGCCTCAGCCTCAGCCTCAGCCTCAGCCTCAGCCTGCCTCAGCATCCGCCTGCCTCAGCCTCAGCCTCAGCCTGCCTCTGCCTCAGCCTCAGCCTGCTTCAGCCTCAGCCTCAATCTGCCGTCGGCCTCGGCCTCAGCCTCAGCCTGCTCAGCCTCAGCCTGCATCAGCCTCAGCCTCAGCCTCAGCCTGCCTCAGCATCAGCCTGCCTCAGCCTCAGCCTCAGCCTGCCTCAGCCTCAGCCTCAGCCTGCTTCAGCCTCAGCCTCAGTCTGCCTTCAGCCTCGGCCTCAGCCTCCGTCTGCCTCAGCCTCAGCCTGCATCAGCCTCAGCCTCAGCCTCAGCCTGCCTCAGCATCAGGCTGCCTCAGCCTCAGCCTCAGCCTGCCTCAGCCTCAGCCTCAGCCTGCTTCAGCCTCAGCCTCAGTCTGCCTTCAGCCTCGGCCTCAGCCTCAGCCTGCCTCAGCCTCAGCCTGCCTCAGCCTCAGCCTCAGCCTGCCTCAGCCTCAGCCTCAGCCTGCTTCAGCCTCGGCCTCAGTCTGCCTTCAGCCTCGGCCTCAGCCTCAGCCTGCCTCAGCCTCAGCCTGCACCAGCCTCAGCCTCAGCCTCAGCCTGCCTCAGCCTCAGCCTCAGCCTGCCTCAGCCTCAGCCTGCCTCAGCCTCAGCCTCAGCCTGCTTCAGCCTCAGCCTCAGTCTGCCTTCAGCCTCGGCGTCAGCCTCAGGCTGCCTCAGCCTCAGCCTGCATCAGCCGCAGCCTCAGCCTCAGCCTGCCTCAGCATCAGCCTGCCTCAGCCTCAGCCTCAGCCTGCCTCAGCCTCAGCCTCAGCCTGCTTCAGCCTCAGCCTCAGTCTGCCTTCAGCCTCGGCCTCAGCCTCAGCCTGCCTCAGCCTCAGCCTGCCTCAGCCTCAGCATCAGGCTGCCTCAGCATTCAAAATGTGGTCCGGGGATGGAGTTCTGGGAACTCGAAGAACACGAAGTGGCCTACAGTTGGCTCCGGGCATTCAAAATCATGTCCAGGAATGGAGTTCTGGGAACTCGAAGACCACGAAGTGGCCTACAGTTGGCTCCGGGCATTCAAAATCATGCCCAGGAATGGAGTTTTGGGAACTCGAAGAACACGAAGTGGCCTACAGTTGGCTCCGGTCATTCAAAATCATGCCCAGGAGTGGAGTTCTGGGAACTCGAAGACCACGAAGTGCGTTACTGTTGGCTAAAAAAGAATTCCCCGGATTCCCGCGGCACCCGTCCGGCATCTGCCCAGACCCCCTTGGGGAGTCATGATGCTCTCTTTTGAGACCACTAGAAACCTATCAGTCTTCGCTGTTAGGTAAAAACCGGTCCTGGGGAATCAGTCGAGACTTCCGGGGATCCCGTATTGAAAAAACACGGCATTTGATCTCTGGGACCCCGCGTTCGCCCCCCCCCTCCCCCAATTGCAAAATTGGCGTCAGCCCCTCCTGGCGGGCCCTGGGGGGTCTATTTTTTTGTCCTCTCACGCCTGTGTTGCCGAATGCTTGGGGGCAGCTTTGAAATTTTGGAGGGGGGGGGGGGCGCGGTGTCAAGGGTTCCACTCTTTTGTCCATCCATGGTCCCTGGTCACCGCGGCTGGGTTCGCCTCGATGTCCCGGTCACTGGAGCGCGCAGTACCCTGCGATCCCGGCGCTGCGCCTGTTTCAAACAATTCGGCGCTTCGGCCCGACCCGGCCCGAAAAGTGATCGTTTTTTTATTCATTGTTTTGCCGATCGGCGGGGGCCCTCGCACACCGCCCCTCCTCCCTGGAGTAGATCTTAGCTGTTTTCGGCGCCTGTTTCGAGCGGGTGGAGTCCCCCCCAGAGGCCGCACTCTTGCAAACAGTCGCACTGAGCAGAGGTCTGGAGCCAGACCCCCCCCCCCCTCCCCCCCCTTTCCGCCCGATGTCGAAACGCCAGATAAAGAAACGCTCACTTGGCCCGATCCGCCCAGAAAATGGACGCAGGAAAAGAAGGCGCAGTGCTCTGGCGGTCACTTTTTGCGATGTTGGCATTGCTTTTTTGAAACGTCAGATCTGTGGGCAGGGCTGGGCCTGAACGGTGTGTTTGGGCGATCTCATGGGCCGTCTTCGTTTCGATCTCGCTCAGTGGCAAAAGGCGGGCTGAAGACAAGACGAGGGACAACGAACACAAAACGAACACGAAAAACACTGCTTTTGGCTCGCGCCCAGACGCCCCCCCCCCCCAGGCGCAGCGGCGCCCCGGCCGGGGAGCGGAGCCTGCTCTCCCGGCGGAGCTCGTGGGCAACGAATCGGCGGGGTGGGACACTCCGAGTCTCTTAAGAAGCGTCGGGGGGGCGCCACCCCCGCCGCCCCACCTCGACCCCCGTCGCGGGCAGCCACTGCGCGCCGAAGGCGCTCCGACCCCCGTCGCGGCGCGACGACGAGGCGAGGTTGACCCCCGTCGGGGGGGGACCCTCCACGCTTATTGAGAAACGCAGAGTAGGCTCAGGGCTCTGGTTGACCCACAAGGGGGTCCAGCGAAAAGAGGGTGGTACAAAAGATTTGGTGCACTAGTCGACGAACAAGAAACGCCATAAACATTGATTTTTGGCGCTCTGCGCTGATTTCTTGGATCCTCGCTGGGACCCCCTTGGCGGCGCCTCCGGCGACGCCCTTGGCGCACTCCGCGCGCCAGGGAGGGGGGTCCAGCATGGATCCAAGAAATTCGCGCGGACCTCCGAGTTTTATGCTTATGCCATTTTTCGCTCCCTTAAACAGATCCGTGGGGTTGCAATAGATTCGGGGCGTGCACTACATTCTGGTGAGCAGATGTATTTTGCTGGGTTATAGCGCGCGAAACGTTTTTGCAACACACTGCACTGCGGTTCTCTGGATCCAAAAAATTGCCGTACAGTTGCCCCAAACCTATTGCACCACCCCCTTCCAGCTGGACCCCCTTCTCGGTCAACCAGAAGGGCGGAACGCATCGATCTCCAATCGCCCATGAACCGCCGATGCGGACACCCTCGCCGCTCAGGAAGGTGCGGTTTCGCTATCGGGGGCCGATCACGCCGCTCTAACGGCGATGCATCGCCGATTCCAGGCCGGTGTTCTCTGAGATCAGACGCTGCGACAAAAATTGCAACGTCCCGAATCACGACCGGAGCCCCAAACCACATCGTTCTTGTGATGGCCCCGGCTGCCAGAATCGAGCGAAGAGCCCAGTATGAAAGAGTTGCGAAGCCCAGATCTCAGGGTGTTCCCTCTGAGCTGGTCCCGCCCCCTCCCCCTAGCGCCTGGCGCCCCGCCTTCAGGATCGCGCTCCTAGAGCTGGCCCGCTTAGTCCCGCTTCATCCAGCTCAGTCCCGCTTCATTTGGCTTGCAGCCAACCTGCATAGTATGGATGAGCGATTTTCCAAGGTTGCGCCCCTGCCCCCTTCGGCCCATCCTTGGTCGCTTTCGCTGGTCGCGCCCTGCTCGCAGAGTGTCCGCATGGCTTTCCAAGGCCTTTGCATCCTTATTGTGCGCCCTTATTATACGGGTTGCCTGTACTCCAGCTGAATCCAGCTCAGTAGTCCCGTTGAACCCCGCTCAATCCGGCTCAATCCCAGGCTCAATCTGGCCTGATCCGGCTCAATGGCCCCTTCATCAGGCTTCGTAGCCCCTAACCCTAACCGTTGCGACGAAGTCCTCCCAGGGGTCCAAGCAGATGGGGTCGGAGGATCGCACCGCATCGCCGATGCGTTGGCGCTGCGGCTCGATGCGGAGCCCGATTTTCTCCACGCCGACGGCGCCGATGCAGCGCTGACGTCGCCGATGCATCGCCGATACATCGGCGATGCATCGCCGATGCGGCGCGATCCTCCGAACCCACCTATGGTAGCCTCGCGTCGTGTCGACCAGCGGCGACCCCGCCGCGGGCCTTCCACCGTTGAGCGCCGCCGGCGACCCAGAACCGGTTGTTGTTCGGGGCTCAAGAGACGGGAGTCAATGCAAACGGGGGTCAGTCAGAGCGCCGGATCTTGCAGGATCTTGCAGGGCCAGAGTCGCATTGACCAGGGTTTGGGCGCAGGATCCTGAAGGATCCTGCAATGCCTGGCTGACCCGGGTCTGGATTGACCCTGTCAGAAGATCCCCGAGTTGTCAAACGATCTGACGCTTCGGAAACGGCCGATCCTACCAGGCTGAACGATCCCTGCGGTGTTAAAAACCCGCGCCCGTGTAGAGGGTGTCTCCGAAGGGCTTAGGCGACCCGTCGTCCTCCTCCTCCTCCTCCTCCTCCTCCTCCTCCTCTTCCGACTCCTCCGACTCCTCCTCCGACTCCTCCTCCGACTCCGTAACCAATTTGGCTCAAGCTTGCCTAGGGCGCCAGGCGGGCGGCAGCGTTGGATCCCGCGTTCCTCTCTTCAGGGGGAAGCGCCTCCTCCGCCGCGGCGATGGCCCCCGAGGTGGTGGTGGCTGCGGGGGCCCTGCCCGTACGGGGTGGCCCAGGGCGCTGCGGGCGCTCGAGACCGTCACGCTTGGCGCCTCGGCCGCCCGCCGAGCCGCGCGCGCGCGAGGCGGCTGGCGGCGGCGGAGGCCGCGGCCCCGAGGCGGGGCGGCCCCGGGTCGCGGCAGGACCGCGAAGCGGCGGCGCGGCCGGCACTGGCGCTGGCGGCGAGTGGGCGCCGCGTGCCAGGAGCGCGGAGGCGGCGCCGCAACGCCGCGCTCCACGCTGTGCGTGTCCCGCGCCCCACGCAGCGCGTGTCCCCGCGCGGGGATTCGCCGCCGCCTCGGCTGCTGACATAGCTTGGGCGGCGGCTGGGCCGCGCCTCGGCGAGGTGAACGTGGTGCGCGTGCCAGCTCGAGGAAAATGCGCCGAAGGAGGAGATGAGCAGGAGGAGGAGGAGGAGGAGGAGGAGGAGGAGGAGGAGGAGGAGGAGGAGGAGGAGGAGGAGGAGGACCAGGAGGAGGAGGAGGAGGAGGAGGAGGAGAAGGAGGAGGGAAGGGCATCCTGCGGAGGAGGAGGAGGAGGAGGAGGAAAAGAAGGAGGAGGACCAGGAGGAGGAGGAGGAAGTGCATCCCGTGCGTGCCCTCTCGAGGAAAGTGCGCCCCGGAGGGCGTCGTATCTGGCCCAGGCCCCCCCCCTTCCCCATCCCCCCCCCCCTGCGGGGAAGGGATCAAAGGGAAGGGGCTTCCCTTCGACTCCACTACGACGTCGTTTAATTTCGCTCTGGATAGCGCGCTTGAGGAGGAGAGCCCTGGGAGGGGGAGAACGGAGACGACGGAGACGACGAGTCGAACGGAGAAGCCCTTCACACACGCCGACAGGGTCGGCGGATTTTGGCCTGGATCGGGGTGCGCCACCCGTGGGGCCGCCAGCACCGCGGCTTCGCTGACCGCTGCGTCCTCCAGCTCGTCGTGCTCGAGCCGCCACTGGGCGCGGCGGCATGCCACCGCAGCGGCCGCCCTCGCGTGCGCCAGCTGGTTGGCCGCGACCGTGGCCTCCCAGCTCCGCGGCCCCCTCGCGCTCGGCTCCTCGCCGCCAGAGAGGCTCTCGACCTTCAACACGTCCACGGTCTCCTGCTGCACCTTCACCCCTACGTCGGCCGACTTGGCCGCGACGCTGCCCTCGACGTGCGGCGCCTTCGGCAGCCCCACCAACATGAGGAAGGCGGGGATGACGGGGAGCGCCTGCAGGCCCAGCACGGCCTGTACCAGCGGTCCCTCCACGGTCTCCCCGAACGTCGGCCCCGCCGTCTCGGGCACCACCTCGCTCGGCTCCTCGGCGCTGCCCTCCACGAGCTGCGTCTTGTCGAAGAGCGGCGCCGATGCCTCCTCCGCATTCTTCGCGATCTCGCTGCAGATGCCATCCTCGGTGTGCAGCACCGTCGACACGATATCGCTGCAGATGCCAATCTTGGTGTGCATCGCCTTCGACACCTCCATCGTCTTCTCGAGCCTCTCAGAGTTAGCCGCAAGGCCCACGCCGTCGGCGCCGGCCCCGCAACCGAGCTCCTGCTCGGGGTCCTCGCTGCCGATGCCAATCATGGTGTGCAGAACCGTCGGCACCTCCAGCGATCCTCCAGCGTCTTCTGGACCCTCTCGGAGTTCGCCTCGAGGCACTCGCCGAAGGCGCCGACCCCGCCGCCGAGCTCAAGCTTGACCTCCTGCCCGGCCAACTCCTGCTCGACCTGCGGCTCCTCCAGCCCGGCCTTGTCATGCGGCACGTCGGAGGCGAGGCTGACGCCGCTCGGTTCCAGCTGCTCCTCGATGAAGTGGCTCGCTGCTGCGAGGCTGCCCCTGACGATCTCCTTCGCCAACAGCTCGCCCAGCACGAACGAGTGGATCTCGAGGACAGCGCCCAGCGCGCGGAAGACCGCGATCGGCCCCTCCGTGTGCACGCCCATCTGGTCGCCAGGCTCCACACCTCCACGGCTCGCCGACACAGGCGCGCACGAGGGCGCGGTCAGGGCCCAGACGGGCTTGAGCCAAAATGGCTGCGGAGGAGGAGGAGGAGGAGGAGGAGGAGGAGGAGGAGGAGGAGGAGGAGGAGGGAGGAGGAGGAGGAGGAGGAGGAGGAGGAGGAGGGAGGAGGGGAGGGCGGAGGAGGCTGAGGAGGAGGGAGGGAGGAGGAGGAGGGGAGCGGAGGAGGAGGAGGGGAGGAGGAGGAGGAGGAGGAGGAGGAGGAGGAGGAGGAGGAGGAGGACCCCCTTCTGGGAGGCCTCCAGAAGCCCCGCGCCGCTGCCCGCGCAGGATCGCGCTCCTGGAGCTGGCCCGCTTCGGGCTCGAGGCCGAGGCCGCCGCCAGCAGGCTGCCCCAGCACCTTGGGAGGGAGGCCGAGCGGCTGCGCGGTGCGGCGAGGGACGCCCACAGGCTCCGGGCTCCAGAGGAGGGACAGGTTCGGGTTCGGGGATACATCGACCCCCAATCGCCTATGGATCGCCGATGGGGGCCCGATAGCCCGAGCCTGCCCAGGAAGGTGCGGATTCACTATCGAGAGCCCATCGAGGAGGAAAAGGTGCCGATACCGAGGGGGACGAAATAAACATAAAAACTCGAAGGCCCGCGCGGATTTCTCGGATCCGCGCGGGAAACCCCCTGGCGGCGCCTCGGGCGCCGCCCCTGGCGCGCTCCGCGCGCCAGGGAGGGGGGTCCAGCGCGGAGCCGAGAAATCCGCGCTGACCTCCAAGTTTTATGTTTATGTCATTATTCGTTTCCCTAAAAAGGTACCGATACCGCTACCCTTCGCACGTTTTCCCCTGTTTGTTCGGCCTGATCGGAGGCTCTCGTTGCCACCGCTGGGTTCGCCCCGAAATCCTGACCAGAACGCACCCTGGGAGAGGTCCGGGGAGTAGCGGAATCAGTACCTTTTGGTTTCCCCAGGTTTCGATTGCGCCGACATTGGCTCACCGAGCGCGTTCCAGTACTCGCAAAGTGCCTAGACAAAAGCTTTTGGCGCTTCGCGTGGATTTCTTGGATCGGCGCCTGGGCCGCGCTGGCGGCGGGGCCCATCGCAGATCCGAGAAGTCTGCGCGGAGCGCCAAAACTTTATGTTGATGGCGTTTATTATTCTTCTATGCTCGCAGCCACAATCAAGAACGAGCGTTGTTTGATACAGTGGAGCCTGCTTGCCTCGACGCAATGGACGCAGGCTACGTGCGAGTAGCTACTTCGCGAGTGGTGGAACGCGCTGATTTACTGGCCCGTCAGTTGCCCGCGAGAGGTCGCGCGTGAGTGCCCTCGCTTCCAACGCAGCTTGCCGCGCTGGCTGCCCGCGCAAGACGCGGCGCAGGATCGCCACGTCATCCTGCGCAAGACCCCTTTCTGTTCGTCGCTCCAGTGGCCCCAGCTTGCGGCATCGTTTGTCCCATCCCCATCCCTCGCAATGAAGGATACAGTGGAGACACCCTGCTTGCCTCCAGGGTGCCCTGGGTTTCTTGGGTTTCCATGGTTTTGCCATGGAGAGCGTGAAGCTTCCACGCAAAAAGTTAATGGACGTTGGGTTTCTTGGGGAAGGTTTCTTGTGGTCGGGCCCCTATCGTTTGTCCCATCCCTATCCCTCGCGATGAAGGATCGGGGTGTCCTGAGAGGAACGGGTCCCGGGGTTACAACTCGCCGCTTTGGAGCATCTCGGGGCCCTCCCATAGGGCCCCCCTCCTGGACCCTCCGAGAACGAGGTCCGGGGGGAAGACCCTAGGGTCCAGGTCCCGTTTTCCACAGATCCTGTTTCCTACAGGACCCCATTCACGCCAGTCGAAGAACAAGAATTTCCATGAGCAGGATTTCTCGAAGGTCTGCGCGGATTTCTTGGATCCGCGCTGGCCATCCCCTTGGCGGCGCCTCTGGCGCCGCCCCCAGCGCGCTGCGCGCGCCAGGGAGGGGGATCCGAGAAATCAACGCGGACCTCCGAGAAATTATGCTTATGCCTGCTTTTGCTCCTCCAATCAGGCCATGGCACCTCAGCCCCACCATCCCACCACCCCAGTTGGGTACAGTTGCCCCTGGAAGCCCGAAGGCAACGGCCCAGGTCCTCATCTGGGGCGGTCCGGCGGTCAGTGGGACCAAGGCCGAACCGGGGATCGGTGGAACGATGCTCGAGCTTTTCGGCCCTGGGCCCTCCCCCCTGGGCCCAGGGGGGTGCTCTGGAGGCCGTTCGGGCCCCTCCCAGGCATCCTGGGGGCACCTGGGGCCAGGGGCGCTTTCGCAAGACCCGAGCAGGCTTCGGGAGGCCATGCTGGACGTGTCGGAGGATCAGAGGGAGGGAAAAGCGTCGGAGAATCGACCCAAGCACGGCGGATCTGGAGTCAGAGCGGTAGTTGGTCTTCGGCTGGGGGCCCTCGTCACCACGGCTGGACACAGCTCGGGTGATTTGTGCGTTTGGACCGTGGGAGGGGTGCGAGGACCGACGTTGAGCTCCAGCAACAAACTTTCTCAACTCTGCGCTGGGGGACCCCCTGGCGGCGCCTCTGGCGCCGCCCCCGGCACGCTCCGCGCGCCAGGGAGGGGGGCCTGGCGCCGATCCAAGAAGTCCGCGCGGAGCTCCGAGAGTTTCCGGCTACAGTGGGGTCCCGTGCCACCGAAAAGCACCCTGCTTGCCTCCAGGGCGCCCTGGGTTTCGATGGTTTTGCCTTGGAAGGCGTGGCGCTCCCACGCAAAAAATCGATGGACGTCCCGGGTCTCAGGGTTGGGTTTGTTTCTTGTGGTCGGGCCCCTACGCCGTTATCTACCTCCCCCTGGAGGAAGAGTTCCCGCAGGTCGAGCAGGGTTACCAGAGCATGTCTCAGCACTGGCAGGGCCTCCTGGCCAAGGCAATACCTCCCTCCTTCCCCTCCCTCCTCCTGCTTCTCCTCCTTCTCCTCCTGCTCCTCCTCCTCCTCCTCCTCCTACTCCTTCACTCCCACCTCCTCCTCCTCCTGCTCTTCCTCCTCCTCCTCGTCCTCCTCCTCCTCCTGCTCCTCCTCCTCGTTCTTCTCCTCCTCCTCTATTCCCTCTCGTTATAAAAGATTCCCCCCAGTCGCATCCCCAGGCCGGTCGAAAGGGCGTGCCAGGCGTTTCGCCTGAGACTTCCTCTTTTCAGGGTGGGTGGCTTTCAATATGTAGTTCTCGCCTCAGCATCGCGCACATTCGTTCTTAAGAGTTGCAAGAGTTTCGCGGATTGAGGGCGTGTGGTTTGCAACATGTGTTTCTCGCCCTAACGCCGCGCACATTCGTGTTAAACATGTGCAAGAGTTTCACGGATTGAGGGCACGTTGTTTTCAACATGTGGCTCTCACCTCAGCGCCGCGCAGATTTGGTTAAAACTATCGCAAGAGTTTCACGGATTGAGGGCGAGCCGATTTCAACATGTGCTTTTTGTTTTAGCGCCGCGCACATTAGTTGTAAACATTTGCAAGAGAGTTTCACGGATTCAGGGCGGTTCTTTTTCAAAATGTGGTTCTCGTTTGAGCGCCGCGCACACTCGGTTTACACATTTGCAAGAGAGTTTCATTGATTCCAATGGTCAGCGTGCCAGAAATGGTGCATTGGAAGGACTCAGGCTGTGAGGGCGCGACAGTGACGTGGATTCGCAGCGTTGAAGTCCCAGGATGGTGTTCTGACACGACTCTGGATCGTCAAGACACAACAGTCACATTGATTCGCGGCGTTGGAGTCCCGAGAATGGAGGTTTCTGTACGCTTCAGGGTCTTCAAACAGCTGTCAGCCAACGAGGCAGTTCCCCCAGTGGAAATGAACGTTCTGAGGGGCATGTGACGAGGGAGCTTGGAGGGAGGCTTATTCCAACATCGACATCGCTGATGAGTCTTGGGTTTACACTGGTCCTCCTCCGCCCCTCCTCATTCTGCTGCTCCTCCTCCTCTCCCTCTCTCCTCCTCCTCTCCTCCCCGCCTCTCCCTCCTCCTCCGCCTCCTCCCTCTTTCCTCCTCCTTCCTCCTCATCCTCCTCCTCATCCCTCGTCCTCCTCCTCCGCCTCTCCCTCCTCTCCTCCTTTCCGTTCTCCTCCCTTCCTCCTCCTCCTCCCCTTCCTCTGCCTCCTCGCGCTCCTCCTCCTCCTCCTCCCCTCCTCCCTCCTCCCCTCCTCCTATCCTCCTTTCTCCTGCTCCTCCCTCTTCTCTCATCGGTCACTGCCTCGTCTCCTCCTCTTCCTCCTCCTCTCCTCCCTCTCTCTCCTCCTTCTCCTCCTCTCTCCTTCCTCTGCTCCTGTTCTCCTCTCCTCCTCCTCCCCTCCTCTCCCCTCCTCCTCCCCTCCCTAGTCGTCCTCCTTCCTCCTCCTCCTCCTCCTCCTCCTCCTCCTCCTGAGGCGAAGGCGAGCCTGGAGCCGCAGTGCGCGGCGGGCGGCGCCTGCGGCCCACCGTAGTGGCCAGGCGTCGCGGGGGTCCTCCCCGCGCGCTGCGGCCCAAGACCTCCGAGCCGACCCCGTGGGGCTTCACGGCGCGTGCTCTCGCGCGCGGCGCGGGAAGAAAGAAGGAGCCCGCATCCCGGAGGCGGGGTGCCGCGGCAGCAGCAGCAGCAGCAGCAGCAGCAGCAGCAGCAGCAGCAGCAGTTTGCTTGTGATGTCAGTGATTTACCCTCCATTGTCTCCTGCGTTTTGTTCTGTTTTGTTTTTTCTTGTTTTTCTCTCTCTCTCTCTCGCTCTCTCTGAATCACTATCCGAGAGTTTGATGTGCCCTCTTTAGCCTTGTGAGGAGTTTCATTGCATGTACGTTGTCGTATCTCACGCTCCTCGGAATAACCCCCACGCTCGTCTTTTGTGCGTGCCCCTGGGCCATAGGAGTCCTCAGCGAACTCAGCATCATTCTGATCCGTTCGGTAAACGACGACGATGATGCATTACAGCTGTTTTTTCCCAGGTGAGCAGGGGCGGCGTAACCTGCCATTGTCGGTTCCATAGGCCGACCTCCTGATGTCGAACCCGATTCGCTCGGACGAAAGCAGCGCTCGACCAAGCAGCTCGTTGATGTTCCCTCTTGTGGGTTTCGGCGCGTAAATTTCCGCTGGGCACTTCGACGGCCACAAGAAATACAGTTTGTGAGCTTGAAGCCCACATGCGTGCCTGGCGGATCTGTCACTCCCAACCCTGCGACGGATATCACTATGTTGCATATCCTAGCTGTTCTCCCTGTTCTGCCTCTACTCCGATTCCGACACGCATCACGTGTGTTATCAGAGATACAGTTACTGGACCACGTATTTGATTTGTTCGAACTTTCGTGTTATGACTGCGTCCAAGACACTGGACATGCATTGTTTGTTTCCCCCACTTTGTATATGCTTCGACCAGATGATCATGATCAGCTCACGCAGCTTTGGACCTCAATACGCTGTGTGCTCGCACGCTGGAGTATGACTGGCAAGCCCGCTCGCACGGCGTGGATACTCCATGCACATACCTACGCGCTACATGGGCTTAACGCTTTTCGGCGGTTTCAACATACGAAGCGCTGGACTCGCCTCCTCCCTCGTGCCAGCAGACCTATGCTACAAGCTGCAGTGCTACAAGACCATGCAGATTCTGATCGATGCCGTGAACTTATATGATTGTTTTGTTGTCGACCGCGCTGTCACGGACACGATTTCAAATTTGATAGTGGTTTTCTTGAAGCAGCCTTCTTCTCAGAGCCTTCAACTTGGTATTTTGGCAGAGCCACAGGTGCATGCAATGTTAGCTGATACCACGGCTTTGGTCTTACATTGCGATTTTGCGAACATTGTCGATCAACAGTTCAACAAAGTGGCGTTTTGTGCTACCGACTAAGATATCGAATTTGGTGAAATTGTTCGAGTCCAAATTTCTCGAGCTGGAGTTTCGTGCTATTCCCTATGGTTTGGAATTGCTCGAAAAAGACAGATGCCCGTGAGTTCGCGGCGATCGATGTCCTACGCCCGCCGACACAAACCGGTTTGGGACCGTCCCGAGTTCTTGCATTTTACAATTTGCAAGCCCAAGGCCCAAGGAAATGATACATCAGCCGCCGGCATTTCTGCGTCAAGTCTAGCCTCGAGCCGTTCAAGCATTTCCAGCAGCAACGTTAGCTTCGAGTGCACTGCAGAAGCAACAGCAACAATGTGGAAAACCAAGGAAAAAGAGACAATCACAGGTTCATCGTCGAAACCCGACATGGAGGCTAAGCGTACGTAGCTAGCCGTCATACAGCAGACCAGGATCGACATCCCCACCGCCAAGCAGGAGCCCGCCGTGCCCGCTGCACCGGTTGCGAGAAGAAACCTCAGCTTCGAGATGCCGTAGTCAGCCACGCTCGAAGAAGCCAAGAAAGCAGAGCAGAAAACCATGAATGCGATACTGCAAACCGTGGCCACACTTGAGGATTTCAACTCGTACCCGAAGTCCCCGAAAGAGTTGTGCAAGGCCATGGGCAGCCTGGCGAAGGTCGAGCAGTTCGACTGGAACAGAGTCCTGAAGGCTAACAGTCGATATGAATCCACGATCACGAGAAAAGAAGCAAAGGCGGAGCAGCTATTTACGTGTCTGGTTGCGAATGATGACGATGATGATGATGACGATGATAATGATGATGATGATGATGATGATGATGATGATGATGATGATGATGATGATAGTGATGATGATGAGATGATGAGACGTGATGAAAGATGAAATATGCCGCATGATATGCCGATGTGTCGCATGATATCCTGGCGTAAGCGTGCCACTTCTGTGATGATCATCGTGCGCTGGACCCCGTTTGCCATCACCTCGGACGTCGTGCAGCTCACCCTGGAGGCCGCGATGCTAGTGTAGAGGAGGCTAAGTGATCCCGCTTCGTTTTTTTTCTGACATACGATGTTGGTTTGATGTGCTGCTTCGTTCATTATTATTATTAGTAGTAGTATTATTAATTTTAGTATTATTTCTATCATTATTATTGTTACTATTATTCTGGGCGGGTGCAGCAGCAGCTGCAGCAGCAATAGTTTGTCTGTGATGTCAGTGATTTACCCTTGCTTGTCTCCTGCGTTTTTTGTTTTCTGTCTCTTTCTCTCTCTCTCTCTCTTTCTCTCTCCCTCTTTCTTTCTGAATATGTATCCAACAGTTTGCTGTGCCCGCTCTTACCTTGCGCGGAATTTCATTGCATGTACGTTGTCGTATCTCACGCTCCTAGCTGTCCTCGGAAGAATCCACACGTTAGGCTTTAGTGCGCGCCCCTGGGCCATAGGAGTCCTCAGCGAACCCACCACCATTTTGATCGGTTCGGGAGACGACGACCATGATGCAACACAGCTGCTTTTCCCCCAAGTGAGCAGGGGTGGCGTAACCTGCCATTGTCGGCTCCCGAGGCCGACCGCCTGATGTCGAACCCGACTCGTTCGGACGAAAACTTCGCTCGACCAAGCAGCAGCAACAGCAGCAGCAACAGCAACCGCCGCCGGGGGGGGGGGGGCAGACGGGGGGGAAGAGGGGCAGGAGGGGCCGAGAGGGAGGAGGAGGGGAAGGGGGGGCGAGGGGGAAGGGAGGGGGGGGGGGAGGACGGGAGAGAAGGAGAGGAGGAGGAGAGGAGGAGGAGGAGGAGGAGGAGGAGGAGGAGGCCGAGGCGGAGGAGGTGGAGGAGGATGAAACGGAGGAGGAGGACAAGGAGGAGGAGGACGAGGACGAGGAGGAGGAGGAAAACGAGAACGAAGAGGAGGAGGCGGAGGAAGAGGAGGAGGAAGAGGAGGAGGAGGAGGAGGAGGAGGAGGAAGAAGACCAGTGTAAACCCAAGAGTCATCAACGATGTTGGAATAACCCCGCCCTCCAAACCTTTTTTACCTAACAGCGAAGACTGATAGGTTTCTAGTGGGATCAAAAGAGAGCAGCAGATCACTCCACAGGGGGGTCCGGGCAGGTGTTGGGAGTTGCCGGGCGGCAGGTGCCGGGCTTGTTTTTCACCAACAGTCACACACTTCGTGCTCTTCGACTTCCAGAACTCCATTCCCAGGCCACATTCTCAATACCCGGATGCAACAGTCACACACTTCGTGCTCTTCGAGATCCCAGAACGCCATTCCCGGGCCACATTTAGAATAACCGGATGCAACAGTCACACACTTCGTGCTCTTCGAGTTCCCAGAACTCCATTCCCGGGCCACATTCTGGAGGGCCGGATGCAACAGTCACACACTTCGTGCTCTTCGAGTTCCCAGAATTCCATTCCCGGGCCACATTTTGGATGCCCGGAGCCAACTGTAGGCCACTTCGTGCTCTTCGAGTTCCCAGAACTCCATTCCCGGGCCACATTTTGAATGCCCGGAGCCAACTGTAGGCCACTTCGTGCTCTTCGAGTTCCCAGAACTCCATTCCCGGGCCACATTTTGAATGCCCGTAGCCAACTGTAGGCAACTTCGTGCTCTTCGACTTCCCAGAACTCCCATTCCTGGGCCACATTTTCAGCAGGGGCAAGAGCACGACGAGGAGGAGGACGAGCAAGACCAGGAGGACGAGGACGAGCAGGAGCAGGACGAGGAGCAGGAGGAGCAGGAGAAGAAGGACGAGCAGGAGGAGGAGGAGGACGAGCAGGAGGAGGAGGACGACCAGGAGGAGGAGGACGACCAGGAAGAGGAGGAGGAGGAGGAGGAGGGGAGGGGGAGGAGCACCAGGAGGAGGAGGAGGAGGAGGAGGAGGAGGAGGAGGAGGAGGACGAGGACGAGGAGGAGGAGGAGGGGGGGGGAGAGTACCAGGAGGAGGAGAACGAGGACCACCAGGAGGAGGAGGAGGAGGAGGAGGAGGAGGAGGAGGAGGAGGAGGAGGAGGAGAGAACACCACGAGGAGGAGGACGAGCAAGACGAGGAGGACGAGAACGAGGGCGACCAGGAAGAACCAGGAAGAGGAGGAGGAGGAGGAGGAGGGGAGGGGGAGGACTACCAGGAGGAGGAGGAGGAGGAGGAGGAGGAGGAGGAGGAGGAGGAGGAGGAGGAGGAAGAGGAGGAGGAGGACGAGGAGGAGGAGGAGGAGGGGGGGGGAGAGCACCAGGAGGAGGAGAACGAGGACCACCAGGAGGAGGAGGAGGAGGAGGAGGAGGAGGAGGAGGAGGAGGAGGAGGAGGAGAGAGCACCGGGAGGAGGAGGACGAGCAAGACGAGGAGGACGAGAACGAGGACGACCAGGAGGAAGAGGAGGAGGAGGAGGAGGAGGAGGAGGAGCAGGAGAAAGAGGAGGAGGAGGAGGAGGCAGGCTGAAGCTGCTGACTGCGACTGACTGCGAGACTACAGCAGAATTCGACAACTGGATTTTCATCTGAATCTTAAGGGGAATGCTTTCAGATATGCTTCTACACATCGCTGTTAGGTTGCTTTGCCGGGATAATTTTCCCACAGGCCCCATGCAGCGGTTCATTTCCACTGAAGGAATTGCCTCGTTGGAAGACACCCGTTTGATTACCCTGAAGCATGCCAACACATTATTGTTGACGCTTCGCGAATCCCCACCAGCCCATCCAGAAACGACGCCCAGGCGAGTTGAGGTGACCA